CGAGCGCCCACCCTGACGGGACTGGTTTCTGCAGCCGCGCCTTAGTTTCCCGTGAGAAACCTCATTTTTAACGGATTTGATGGTGCTGCCCTCTGTCCGGCTCCGGTTCCTGCGTCGCCGTTCACTCCTCCTGGGGATGAGCTGATGGTGGTGCCCGGCCTCTGGTGGGATGGGGTGCAGGGGCTTCTCCGCGTTGGCCCGTGTGACTGAGGGTGTGCACGTGCTCTTTCCGCTTTCTGCACACGCCCCCGTGTCCCTGTGACACGCCCCCGTGTCTCTGTGCGGACAGGAGGGTGAGAGCCGGTTACTTGCACGTTTTTGCACTCGCTGCCCTGAGCACCTCCGTCCGCTTTTCTGCAAGTGCACGGTGTTGCTAGCGGTGACGTTCCTACGAGAAAACACTCGCCTGCCGTGTCCAGGCCGATGGCTGGTGGGGGCCCCTCCTGGAAGTTGGCGGGAAGGTGCTAAAGCTTGTCTGGCTCACGCCGGTCGTGTGGGCCTGGCTGCATGAGGGATGCGACCGCTCGGGCCCCGAGTCCCACGGGCACTGAGGTCGGGTGTCTGCTGGGAGCTTTGCTTGGTGTGTGTGGCTCGGTCCTGTCTGTCTTGCTCTGTGTTCCACCCCCAGAAGGCTCTCTGCGGGGCCTGGGCCTGGGCCTGACCTTTGTCACCCTAGTGATGCCCTTCCCTCTCCTGTGAAGAAAGTGGGGTGAGACCAAGGTCCCTGTGACAGGCTCCCCAGAGGCACCCTCCCACCCAGCAGGTCCGCGTGGGGTTTTACCAGACCCAAGGAGGTGATGGGCGGCCAAGCCGGCCAGAACTCATGTGCAAGGACGGCTCCTCACCCCTTTCTGCCCAGCCCTCCTCCCTCCGGGAAGCTGTGCCAGGGGGGAGGGGGGAACCGTCCGAGCCTAGCCTCGTGGGACCCGGAGCACCGGAGGACGAGGCCCCAGCCTGGTTTGGCTGCGCCGGGACCGCCGTGGGCCTCACCCGGCACCTTGATTTGCAGGCCTCAGACCTGGCCGTGAGACTCCGGGCAGCTCAGCACCCTGACCGCAGAGCGCGAGGCTGCGAGGAGCTGGATGTCTGCAGCTCGCGTTCTGTGGGGCCAGGCCAGGTCCCCTCTCTGCTGCAGATCCTGCGCTCTGGGACATGGCGCTCCCGCGCGCCCTCCTCCTGGCCGGCCTCCTGGCGGAAGTTGCCAGCAAGTCCTCGGTCAGCGCGGTAGGTGCCCTGCCCTGTGGCCTGGGTGCCAGGAAGTAAGGTTGGAGCCTGCGGCCCAGCCCCTCCTGGAGGCGAGCCCTTCCCCCGGGGGCTCTGGCCCTTCCACCTCGAGGCCCCGCACGCGCCCTCGGCTACGGGGTCTGGGAACTGACCGTCCGTTCCCTTCCAGGGCCAGCCGTCCAAGTGCTGTGTGGACGTGGTGGACGTCAACACCACCTGCCCTGGCACAAGCCTGTGTGGCCCAGGTGAGCATCTGGCCTGAGCCCGTGCGGCTCTCACCACAGCTGGGGGCAGGGGGCGCGCAGACCTCGGGGAGATGGGAGGGCACGAGACGGGAGGGGTGGCCCCATGCAAGCCTCCCTCCTGGCTGGTGGGCAGGGCCCATGGGAGACGGATGCTGAGCAGTGGGGGGTGTGGGGAGGCGAGAGGCCGGCTCTGCTCCCAGGGAGGCCCGGCTGCCCTGAGAGCGGCTGAGTGAGGGAGGCCAGTGGGCCCGGCACGGAGCCTCGAGAGGAAGTGGAGGGGCACCTGCTGTGTTTTTAAGTGTCTTGAGCTGAAAATAATTTTTATGTCAAAGAGGCATGTTTTAGGCGACAGTCTGGCTTCCTTCCGTCCCTCATTTGACATTGTACCTTCAGGGGTTCACACACTGTAAACACGAGCAGACAGGAGCCGCCTCGGTCAGCGCCCAGGGTCTCCGTGTGGGGGGCAGTGTGGCAGGTGGCTCCCCCAGTGAGGCCTCTGCAGGGGGTGGGGGGAGTAGGAAGCACTGCTGTGGAGACAGAACAAGGAGGCCGATGGAGCAAATGCAAGCCCAGTTCCGTGTCCAGAGAGCCGGCCGCCGAGAGAATGTCCAGACACTGAGCTCAAGCCTCTCGGACGGAGGGAGGACGGAGCCGCGTTGATGAGATTCCTGCCGCTGCCTGCGTGTCTGACGGCGCCGGGGGCTGTGGCC